AATTTTGTTTGTTTCGTTCTTCTTTTAACTCAAACATATTCTGAATCCACACCGCCCCCCATTAATGGATCTTTTTCTCACTCTTCAACAGTGAACAACTTTATTTACCGTGTGGAACGTCATCCCACCTAATGAATGGACTCCACCGTGACTACGCTTCTTGAGAAGTTGATATTAGCAGTGTTTTCAGCAGACTGTAAACCTGGATCTCCATTGGATTGAGCGCTTGAACACTTGAACACTTGACCGGAGTTGACGACCCCAAGGCCTTGACCCAGTGGTGCGGACCCACGGAATTGGCCTGAGTCTTTGGCCCACGGCCATGCTCCGTGTAAGTGGCGGTTGACGGTTGTCGTCACACGGACTGGCCCGAGTCATCGACCATGCCTTGACCCGAGGTGCCAAGCTACGGACTTGACCAGAGCCGTCAACCCGCGGCCTTGTGCAACTTGAACACTTAACCCGAGTTGATGACCCCAAGGCCTTGACCCAATGGTGCGGACCAACGGAATTGGCCTGAGTCTTTAGCCAACGGCCATGCTCTGTGGAGGTGGCAGCCCACGGCCTTGTGCCGGGGTGTCGTCCTACGGACTGGCCCGAGTCATCGACCATGCCTTGACCCGAGGTGCCAAGCTACGGACTTGACCAGAGCCAACAACCCGCGGCCTTGTGCAACTTGAACACCTGAACACTTGACCCGAGTTGATGACCCTAAGGCCTTGACCCAATGGTGCGGACCAACGGAATTGGCCTGAGTCTTTAGCCAACGGCCATGCTCTGTGGAGGTGGCAGCCCACGGCCTTGTGCCGGGGTGTCGTCCTATGGACTGGCCCGAGTCATCGACCATGCCTTGACCCGAGGTGCCAAGCTACGGACTTGACCAGAGCCATCAACCCGCGGCCTTGTGAAACTTGAACACTTGAACACTTGACCCGAGTTGATGACCCTAAGGCCTTGACCCAATGGTGCGGACCAACGGAATTGTCCTGAGTCTTTAGCCAACGGCCATGCTCCGTGGAGGTGGCGGCCCACGGCCTTGTGCCGGAGTGTCGTCCTACGGACTGGCCCGAGTCATCGACCATGCCTTGACCCGATGTGCCAAGCTACGGACTTGACCAGAGCCGTCAACCCGCGGCCTTGTGCAACTTGTGCAAACCCCCGAGGTGCCGGCCCTCGGAACGGGCCCGAGTCGTTCATCGCCTCACGGCCTTTCGCAAGGGTGTCGTCCCACGGACTTGCTCGAGTCGTCGGCCCACGGCCTTGCGCCGGGGTGTCATCCTACGGACTGGCCCGAGTCATCGACCATGCCTTGACCCGAGGTGCCGAGCTACGGACTTGACCAGAGCCGTCAACCCGCGGCCTTGTGACCACTACCGTTAATGCTCTTTGGATTCTTGTGGTGAGTTTTATTTAAGAAACAAAAAGAGACCTGTATATGAAGAAATATGATATCTCGGGTGGTATTTTAACCCCCTCCCCCCCCCCCCCCCTCCCCCTGCAAAATATACATTGCTTGATCTCCTATTAAAATATGAATTCTAAAGTCTACATTAAACTCATTCTCAAATTGAAACTTTTCAATTGAAGTTTACATGTAAGTTCACATGTCAGTGGTGAGATGAACCCACGTTAAAGCAACAACATCTCCAATGTACCTCTTTTCAATGCACATTGCACATCAACGGCACTTTCTTTGGACAGCTGAGAGTCCACCACTCATGCAGCAAATGTTGTCCATCATTTTGAAATCAATGATGCTCTGCCATCCGTGACCGAAGAGATGTCAATAAGATATCACTAAAAAGCAAATGAACTACCCCTAAAGATGGGCCACTTTGACATTTTTGAAGATCCTAACCTTTACATATTAGCCCATCGTTTTTCGAATGACGATATTCTTAATGCATCCTGTTCATATGCATTGCAACCATTAACTGACTTAAATTGTGTTCCAGATGAATTTTGTTCGTTCCGGTCTTCTGTTAAGGGCAGAAGGCAAATAAAATTTACTCGGCGCGACGCGAGCCGCCGTACAGCGCCGCACAGCGCTGAGGGTCGGGGCGCTGCGTCCCGCCGACCCTCGGCGCCGCCGACGAGATTAAGCTTCCTGCATAATAATAGGTGAAGATTTGCGTATTGCTTTCACGGCTGATTGCACTCAGGTCATGCGGCCAGCCGCAGCGCGCCGACGGTAACGAACTCGTGCTTGGTTTTTAATATGTTGGAACAATTTTTGATCACAAAAATAATCGTGGGTATTTTTGGCAACGTTTTCGCTTCCAAAATAAACGTAACATGGAACACTGTTTGCCACCAGTTAACATGTCTTGAAACTTTTTTCAATTGTTGATCTGAAGAAATAAACACTACCTGATGCCAAGATGACAAAAACATCAATCCATTTACTTTGTATTCGCGTTCATAATGATAAGTTCCAAGGTCTTTTCCAGACAATTATATTTTTCCCCTGCAGCCCACTTTCGGGGAAAAAAATGATTCACCTGTTCGTCCCAACACTGGTCTCCATTAATAATTTTAATAATTTATTCATTTATAAAGTGCAAATTCCAATATGATTTTGTTCAAATGCGCTGTACAGTAAAATATTAATTAAAATACAAGAAAATACACTCTAAAAATGTACCATGACGCGCTATTACACACATTAAAAATAAAAAAGTAACAGCAAAAAATTACTCGCAAGGAGCTTAAAACGACCCACCATTTCACATGTTAAAATACAAAGAAGTTCCAATAAAATCAGTAAAAGGCCAACTTAAAAAGATGAGTTTTTAACAGAGACTTGAAGTTATCAACACTGTTAGCTCTCCTAATGTGAATCGGGAGGGCATTCCAGAGTGTAGGGGCAGCATTAACAAAAGCACGATCCCCCAGGGTAACTTTGGTACGGCGAAAAGGGTAGCCCAGGAGAGTGTCATCGTGAGAACTACGAAGATTGTAACGGGATGAGGGATTCTTAATGATAAGTTGGCTAAGGTAAACCGGAGCTAGACCATAAAAACATTTATAAGTCAACAACAGAATTTTAAAATTAATCCTAAACCTCACTGGAAGCCAATGAAGATCAACCATTAATGGAGTAACATGACAATACTTATAAGACTTAAAAACAAGTCGAGGGCAGGCATTCTGTACTCGTTGAAGATGATTAATCTGACAGTCAGGTAAGCCATATAAAAGGCTGTTACAGTAATCTAAACGACTGGAAATGAAAGCATGAATCAAGGTTTCAGTACACTTAGTGGACAGGTATTTTCGTATACGTCTGATGTTATGTAAATAATAAAATGCACTTCCACAAACCTTTTGAACGTGAGTGTTCATTGACATATGTACATCAAACCATGAGCCTAAGTTACGAGTAATGGGTGCAGGTGTAACCATACAATCACCAACATGAATGGAATCATTTCAATGTATATGTGTGATGTCACGCAGTGCAGAATACCAGCCAATATCTCGGTACTGTGATTGCGTCCTTTAATCCCGCCACTGCATGTGTTTTTTTGCCATCACCGAAACTAATACGTAGGCGTATGTTCCAACACTGGTCTCCAATTTATAAATATGTGACCGTTACGAAGTGCAGTATACCAGTAAATTTCTTTATGGGTGTGTCTATGATCCTATTGGGGATTGCGTGTTTTAGTCCCGCCCCTACCCTATTCCCATCAACGAAACTGATTTGATGGTCCATTCATTAAAAAAATTCCAACACTGGTCTCCATTTTATTGTGTGTGATTTTACGGAGTGCAGAATACCAGCCAATATCTCGGTACTGTGATTGCGTCTTTTAGTCCCGCCCCTGCATGGGTTTCTTGCCATCACCGAAACTATGAATAAGACCATGGCTCCATGATAAGACGTAGGCGTTAGTTCCAACACTGGTCTCCTTGTTATAAATATGTGATCATTACGAAGTGCAGCATACCAGCAAATTTCTTTGTGGGTGTGTCTAATCCTATGATTGCATCTTTTAGTCCCACCCCTACCCTGTTCCCGCCAACGAAACTGATATGATGGTCGATTCATTAAAAAAAATTCCAACACCAGTCTCCATTTTATTATGTGTGATTTTACGGAGTGCAGAATACCAGCCAATATATTGCCACTGTGATTGCGTCTTTTAGTCCCGCCCTTGTTTTGTTGCCATCACCAAAACTAATAAGACGCAGGTGTTAGTTCCAACACTGGTCTCCAATTTATTTGTAATATTTGTATACAAACCGCAGTATACCAGCATATTTTCTTGTGGGTGTGTCTAATTTTGTCCAGAAATTTCAGTCCGGCCTGTATACTTTTCCCCATCGACGAAATTGACACGATACAAGTGTAATAGTTCCAACTCTGGGAAGCGAAGTGTCCATTGAATATGTGGGGTTATCGATTTGTCGCTGTAAACAACGGAGATCATGTTCCATGTCGCTCATAACAAAATGCATTTTTCTGGGACACCTCCGAGTCGAAAGACCGGAAGAGGAGATTCGCGGCCAGAAAATTACCGTTCCAGCGGTAAATCTTTCATGGAAAAGTGCTTTATTTTTCCCCCCTGCCACCAGATCGAGATGGAGACTGTGTGATACCTAATTAAAATGATTGGACAACTACCAATGTCCGGCGGTTTCGCAACGTGACAGACATCCGCCCATCACTGGGCCTGGTGCACGGGATCAGATGTACAATGTATGTACATGTACGTACGTGCGGCTGTAAAGCACGTTCCCATAGCCTACACTCAGCGAGATTGTGCAGCCAACACACGGGCGCACTAGCGCTGTCTCCCAAATGGGAGACTGTACCCCAATTGGGGGACAAACCTTTTGAGTCTGGCTGCCCGACTTATAACATGATTTTCATACAGGCTCAATTTAGAGTCAGGAGAACAACTTAGGGCACGTTTTTGTGTTGTTTTCCTGTCATGCAGTGTTCCTTTTTTGAGGGTATTTTTTTATTATTGTTTAATCAAAGTTTAATTGTTTTTTATATGCTTAGAGTTGCAGATAATGCTTTGCTGATGCTTGTGTTTTGATATGGATGTTTGGTAAGTACGTACATGTGTAGATGACTTGAGTTATAACAGAATATCTGGAATTCATTTAGATTTAGAATTTTGCATGTCCAATTCTCTGGACTCAATCCATGCGCATGGCTTGGTTTTTTCGGCCTTATATTTTGTTTTTTAATTCAAGAAATTTCCAGGTGAATGAGCAAAGGCCTTATTCATGAGTCGGTCATATTAAACAGAAAGCGAGGCCGAGGTGAACTCTTCACTTTTGGCAATTGAGAGTTTAAATGAAATAAATGAAGTAGACTAGGTTCATGAAAAATTAATACCGATTAATTAGGTGTCCGGGTTGAATAAGATTCTTCATTTTTATGCCCCGCGGCGAAGCCGAAGGGGCATACTGTTTCCGCCTTGTCCTTCCGTGGGTGGGTGTGTGGGTGTGTGTGTGGGTGGGTGTGAGCTTGTCTTACATACGCAGTGTGGACTTCCGAACAAAAGACGTCCACATAATGTAGGTAGCAGCGACGAAGTGTGGACTTGCCCACGTCCACACAGTGTTTCCCCATTTCTGGAAAACAGGTTTAGAGGCATTTTTGGGTTAGGTTTATCTGTAGCAGAATGAAGAGAAACACTAAAGGGAATCATTGAAAAAAAATTGGGTTGTAAGAGTTTTCACAGTTTGAGAAAAATGAGTTTTTCCACTGGTGTTCCTTAACTACACGAAAAGAAAGGAAAGTCCACACTAGGTATGTGAAACAAGTCTGGGTGTGTGGGTGGGTGTGTGTGTCCGGACAAATCTTGTCAGCGCGATAACTTGAGAAATACTTAACATATGAACTTCAAATTTGGTTTGTGGATTGTCCTTGGTAATCCTAAGAAGCCTTTTGCATTTTGGGCCGAAAGGTCAAGGGTCAAGGTCACAGTGGCTGAAACAATAGAAATTTTGTCAGCGCGATAACTTGAGAAATACTTAATATATGAACTTCAAATTTGGTTTGTGGATTGTCCTTGGTAATCCTAAGAAGCCTTTTGCATTTTGGGCCGAAAGGTCAAGGGTCAAGGTCACAGTGGCAAAAACAAAAGAAATTTTGTCAGCGTGATAACTGGAGATATACTTTACATATGAACTTCAAATTTGGTTTGTGGATTGTCCTTGGCAATCCTAAGAAGCCTTTTGCCTTTGGGGCCAAAAGGTCAAGGGTCAAGGTCACAGTGGCAAAAACAAAAGAAATTTTGTCAGCGTGATAACTTGAGATATACTTTACATATGAACTTCAAATTTGGTTTGTGGATTGTCCTTGGCAATCCTAAGGAGCCTATCGCATTGGGGGTCGAAAGGTCAAGGGTCAAGGTCACAGTGGCTAAAACAATAGAAATCTTGTATTTATTCTGAGATCATAGGGATTAGGGATTAATTCATATAAAACCTACAGAAGACACTAATGCTGTCAATGAACGTTCCATTTGACCAAGGTACATATATAAGTTGATGTTAGAGTGGTGTTATGTCATGGAAACAGTCACGGTTGCGGGGCATTTGTGTTTGTAAACACACCTGACTTGTTTTCTCTTGGTTTTATAAAATGTAATAATATATCCTTTGTTAAGACTTACCTTTTTTCTTTTCTATTTTAGGATTGCAAACCTTTCTACGGGATCTCCCTTGATGCCAGCATTAAAATTTGACACATCAACGTTGAAGCTTCTAGCCAGTGTTTGGTCTTAAGAGGAAATACTTATGTTAATCTGCTGCTGAGGACAGTGTACATTTTTAAAAGAATTAAATTTTAGTGATCAATAATTAATATCAGTAGTTTTGCAGAATTGAATTCCTAAACGGCTCCGAAATGCTTTAAATACAAAGTACTTTATCCAAACAACCTTTTACATAAAACAAACGTAACAGGATAAGTGGCGGTCATTATATTACAAGTGTACATTTTCATTATCGTAATTTCAAAAGTTTAACAATCCTAGCCTATTGGTTACAATCACAAACCAGGAGTAAATACTAAACAGAAATCTGCACAAAAGGTTGAATAAGAGGAACTATGTCAATTACAAAGGGTAGCACAGCTTTTATATTGTTTATACGTATGACAAATATTAAACTTAAATATGATATAACGATTATAATTCATAAACAAATAATTCTTATAATGATATTAACAGTAAGACGCTGATGTCAATACATGTACATTGTATGAACCGTATTTTGGCGATTTGGTCTGTCATTTTAAACATGCATTAGTATTAAATTCATGAAATAATGTGGCATAGAGATTAGAGAGAATAACAATATTTCTTAGTATGTTCAGTAATAGCTATAAGCCTATGAGTTCTTCAGGACTGAGGGATGAATCTACTCAATTTTCTAGCCGTTGTGATGCACCTATCATCAGTGTCCCCAAAAATTGAACGACAATTTTCCACGAACTATTTGACAGCAATGCGTTCAAGGAGTGGAATCAAGCGTGATCATGACGGCACCCCATCCTCCCTTCCTTGTATCCTCACTCACATCCTGGCGTTTGTTCAATTCACTATGAATAATGTACAGCAAACTGAATTTTTTTAAAGTTCCGATCCTGCTCCACACAACTTAGCAACGTTTCCTCTTACCGTTACCACCACGTGCGAGACAACGTCTGGCAACGGCCGATTCCGCTCCACACAACGCATCAACTCGGAACGTGCGCACATGCGTTATTACTGTTACCGCCTGCCAGACTACACGTAAGTCTGGCACCAATGCCATCCGCATAAAACAACATGTAGTAGTAGATTAGTCTGGTTGCAGCGTTACATAGTGAGCTTCGCCGTTGTACAAAATTCTCTCGTATCGTTTCGCCACTGTACCCCGACCTTTAGAAATGCTTTGCAGAAAGGTGCGGAGGGATTTTAATCCTTTCTTTTTGTACCACTGTTTTAATAAAAGTCTGAGCTTTCTGGGTACGAGAATACTAGTCTGTGCCCTTGTTATTTATAATTTTGATAAAAATGTTTGGCGCAATTGGTCGATATGGAAAGCGCGAGTTGAGAATTCGTTTTTTTCCCATCCAAATGAACGCAAAGTTCTGAATTGTTTTTAAAAATGGGGGTGTATTTTTCTTGTATCGGGATACCTTTAATATTTTTTAGAGTCATGTCGATACTCATTAGCACGGATTGAAATTGACTAATTTTGCGTGGTTACATTTACGGCCCAAAACTGGACTCCCTACTACATAGCTTTATAAACGGAACTCGGTCTTTGACCATCGCATCCACGTAATAATGGGGGCATTTTATGGCTCAACGGCGCGCCGCTGCCCGCCTCGTGCGTGGACCAAAACTTCTCCACTGACCTCGCTCATTAACATAACAATGGGACAAGCACAATAGCAAAAGTTAATGCGCTGATGTCTGGTCTGAGCGCCGCGCAGCGCCGAGGGTGGAGAGAAAATAAACAACTGGGAAATAAGCGCCGCACTGCGCCGCGGCGGCTCGCGTCGCGCCCAGTAAAGAGTATTTGCCTTCTGCCCTAACTCAAACATGTTCTGAATCCACACCACCCCCCATTAATGGATCTTTTTCTCACTCTTCAACAGTGAACAACTTTATTTACCGTGTGGAACGTCATCCCACCTCATGAATGGACTCCACAGTGACTACACTTCTTGAGAGGTTGATATTAGCAGTGTTTTCAGCAGACTCTAAGGCCTGGATCTCGATTGGATTGAACACTTGAACACTTGACCAGAGTTGACGACCCCAAGGCCTTGACCTAGTGGTGCGTACCCACGGAATCGGCCTGAGTCTTTGGCCCACGGCCATGCTCCGAGTAAGTGGCGGTTGACGGTTGTCGTCACACGGACTGGCCTGAGTCATCGACCATGCCTTGACCTGAGGTGCCAAGCTACGGACTTGACCAGAGCCGTCAACCCGCGGCCTTGTGCAACTTGAACACTTGAACACTTGACCCGAGTTGATGTCCCCAAGGCCTTGACCCAATGGTGCGGACCCACGGAATTGGCCTGAGTCTTTAGCCAACGGCCATGCTCCGTGGAGGTGGCGGCCCACGGCCTTGTGCCGGGGTGTCGTCCTACGGACTGGCCTGAGTCATCGACCATGCCTTGACCCGAGGTGCCAAGCTACGGACTTGACCAGAGCCATCAACCCGCGGCCTTGTGCAACTTGAACACTTGAACACTTGACCTGAGTTGATGACCCCAAGGCCTTGACCCAATGGTGCGGACCAACGGAATTGGCCTGAGTCTTTAGCCAACGGCCATGTTCCGTGGAGGTGGCGGCCCACGGCCTTGTGCCGGGGTGTCGTCCTACGGACTGGCCCGAGTCATCGACCATGCCTTGACCCGAGGTGCCAAGCTACGGACTTGACCAGAGCCGTCAACCCGCGGCCTTGTGCAACCTGTGCAAACCCTAGAGGTGTCAGCCCTTGGAACGGGCCGGAGTCGTCCATCGCCTCACGGCCTTTCGCCGGGGTGTCGTCCCACGGACTTGCTCGAGTCGTTGGCCCACGGCCTTGCGCCGGGGTGTTATCCTACGGACTAGCCCGAGTCATCGACCATGCCTTGACCCGAGGTGCCGAGCTACTGACTTAACCAGAGCCGTCAACCCGCGGCCTTGTGACCACTACCGTTAATGCTCTTTGGATTCTTGTGGTGAGTTTTATTTAAGAAACAAAAAGAGACCTGTATATGAAGAAATATGATTCCTCGGGTGGTATTTTAACCCCCTCCCCCCCCTCCCCCTGCAAAATATACATTGCTTGATCTCCTATTAAAATATGAATTCTAAAGTCTACATTAAACTCATTCTCAAATTGAAACTTTTCAATTGAAGTTTACATGTAAGTTCACATGTCAGTGGTGAGATGAACCCACGTTAAAGCAACAACATATCCAATGTACCTCTTTTCAATGCACATTGCACATCAACGGCACTTTCTTTGGACAGCTGAGAGTCCACCACTCATGCAGCAAATGTTGTCCATCATTTTGAAATCATTGATGCTCTGCCATCCGTGACCGAAGAGATGTCAATAAGATATCACTAAAAAGCAAATGAACTACCCCTAAAGATGGGCCACTTTGACATTTTTGAAGATCCCAACCTTTACATATTAGCCCATCGTTTTTCGAATGACGATATTCTTAATGCATCCTGTTCATATGCATTGCAACCGTTAACTGACTTAAATTGTGTTCCAGATGAATTTTGTTCGTTCCGTTCTTCTTTTAACTCAAACATGTTCTGAATCCACACCGCCCCCCATTAATGGATCTTTTTCTCACTCTTCAACAGTGAACAACTTTATTTACCGTGTGGAACGTCATCCCACCTCATGAATGGACTCCACCGTGACTACACTTCTTGAGAGGTTGATATTAGCAGTGTTTTCAGCAGACTCTAAAGCCTGGATCTCGATTGGATTGAACACTTGACCAGAGTTGAAGACCCCATGGCCTTGACCCAGTGGTGCGGACCCACGGAATCGGCCTGAGTCTTTGGCCCACGGCCATGCTCCGAGTAAGTGGCGGTTGACGGTTGTCGTCACACGGACTGGCCTGAGTCATCGACCATGCCTTGACCTGAGGTGCCAAGCTACGGACTTGACCAGAGCCGTCAACCCGCGGCCTTGTGCAACTTGAACACTTGAACACTTGACCCGAGTTGATGTCCCCAAGGCCTTGACCCAATGGTGCGGACCCACGGAATTGGCCTGAGTCTTTAGCCAACGGCCATGCTCTGTGGAGGTGGCGGCCCACGGCCTTGTGCCGGGGTGTCGTCCTACGGACTGGCCTGAGTCATCGACCATGCCTTGACCCGAGGTGCCAAGCTACGGACTTGACCAGAGCCATCAACCCGCGGCCTTGTGCAACTTGAACACTTGAACACTTGACCCGAGTTGATGACCCCAAGGCCTTGACCCAATGGTGCGGACCAACGGAATTGGCCTGAGTCTTTAGCCAACGGCCATGCTCGGTGGAGGTGGCGGCCCACGGCCTTGTGCCGGGGTGTCGTCCTACGGACTGGCCCGAGTCATCGACCATGCCTTGACCCGAGGTGCCAAGCTACGGACTTGACCAGAGCCATCAATCCGCGGCCTTGTGCAACTTGAACACTTGAACACTTGACCCGAGTTGATGACCCCAAGGCCTTGACCCAATGGTGCGGACCAACGGAATTGGCCTGAGTCTTTAGCCAACGGCCATGCTCCGTGGAGGTGGCGGCCCACGGCCTTGTGCCGGGGTGTCGTCCTACGGACTGGCCCGAGTCATTGACCATGCCTTGACCCGAGGTGCCAAGCTACGGACTTGACCAGAGCCGTCAACCCGCGGCCTTGTGCAACTTGTGCAAACCCCGAGGTGCCGGCCCTCGGAACGGGCCCGAGTCGTCCATCGCCTCACGGCCTTTCGCCGGGATGTCGTCCCACGGACTTGCTCGAGTCGTCGGCCCACGGCCTTGCGACGGGGTGTCATCCTACGGACTGGCCCGAGTCATCGACCATGCCTTGACCCGAGGTGCCAAGCTACGGACTTGACCAGAGCCGTCAACCCGCGGCCTTGTGCAACTTGAACACTTGAACACTTGACCCGAGTTGATGACCCCAAGGCCTTGACCCAATGGTGCGGACCAACGGAATTGGCCTGAGTCTTTAGCCAACGGCCATGCTCCGTGGAGGTGGCGGCCCACGGCCTTGTGCCGGGGTGTCGTCCTACGGACTGGCTTGAGTCATCGACCATGCCTTGACCCGAGGTGCCAAGCTACGGACTTGACCAGAGCCATCAACCTGCGGCCTTGTGCAACTTGAACACTTGAACACTTGACCCGAGTTGATGACCCCAAGGCCTTGACCCAATGGTGCGGACCAACGGAATTGGCCTGAGTCTTTAGCCAACGGCCATGCTCCGTGGAGGTGGCGGCCCACGGCCTTGTGCCGGGGTGTCGTCCTACGGACTGGCCCGAGTCATCGACCATGCCTTGACCCGAGGTGCCAAGCTACGGACTTGACCAGAGCCGTCAACCCGCGGCCTTGTGCAACTTGTGCAAAACCTCGAGGTGTCATCCCTTGGAACGGGCCGGAGTCGTCCATCGCCTCACGGCCTTTTGCCGGGGTGTCGTCCCACGGACTTGCTCGAGTCGTCGGCCCACAACCTTGCGCCGGGGTGTTATCCTACGGACTAGCCCGAGTCATCGACCATGCCTTGACCCGAGGTGCCGAGCTACTGACTTAACCAGAGCCGTCAACCTGCGGCCTTGTGACCACTACCGTTAATGCTCTTTGGAATTCTTGTGGTGAGTTTTATTTAAAAAACAAAAAGAGACCTGTATATGAAGAAATATGATTCTTCGGGTGGTATTTTAACCCCCTCCCCCCCCCTTCCCCTGCAAAATATACATTGCTTGATCTCCTATTAAAATATGAATTCTAAAGTCTACATTAAACTCATTCTCAAATTGAAACTTTTCAATTGAAGTTTACATGTAAGTTCACATGTCAGTGGGGAGATGAACCCACGTTAAAGCAACAACATATCCAATGTACCTCTTTTCAATGCACATTGCACATCAACG